GTGTGTGTGTGTGTGTGTGTGGAAAATGGCTTGCAGAACCCAACATAACATAGCAAATGTATAAGGGCACCAATGTAATGAGAGCAAATGTAAGGGCACCATTTGTTCAGAGATCCCAGAGCATTCTACAAGCAACCACTAAATGTTGAATTTAGTATAATTAATCAATAGAGTATTGTTCTAGCCAGATAGCTGTTTGTCTTGGTTGAAAAAACTTTTTTTCCTATGCGGTTCAGGGGAATTAAATGTTTAGCTTCAGGGCGTAAATTGATCATTTGCATGAGTGAGAAACAAATTTGCCACCGCCCCCCCCCCCAAATAAAAATAAAAAAAAACATTGCAACCTGCTTGGTACTTTCCAGAGAGAGGCTGCTTTCCTCTGAAATACTGAGGAATACTGTCTGCTTCCAGAAGCTGGTGCTCCTGATACTTGTATCAATGCAACAATTTCTTTGATCTGCAACTTAGGGCCAAAAATTCCTGTCATCTGGACAGCCTTTGGAGGAATGCTGAGCTACTAAATAGAACTATAAGTGTTGCACAACTGTGGCTTTATAGCTTCCTGCAGGAAAACCTAGGGGAGGACGTTTTGAGGAAGGTTGCACAGCCATCCCTGACCTGCCTGCTGGATGAGAGAGGCTGTTTCAAGCTTCCCCATTATAGCCTATGGACAAAACATTGAAACAGCATCACTGTTTCAACAAAACAAAATGCAACAGCAGTTTCAAATTGACACAAAATTCAAAACAAAATGCTATTCCATCAAAAACTTGAAATCAAGTTGAAACAGAATGGTGCTGTTTTGCACAGCCCTAGTATATACCCATCACCAGCGCAGAGACAATGTATATCATCCTTGACTTGCCCAGTCCTCACCCTATCTTTTCTCATTCTTCCTCTATGGACTCCAGAGCCACTGGGCTGCAAGGAGAAGAAACCAGTACCAAGCAGACAGCTGGCTATCCTCCATGCAGCTAGGGAATATCCACTTGAAAAAAGGCAACTCTGTGTGCAGCTCTGGGCCTGTACATTAACGTGTTATTTGGAAATGTGTGCAAGACGGGCAGCTGTGTTGAATTGGGCATGTTTCCAATGGTAATGTCCAGAATGTAAGAGCTTTGTCTTAAAGTAAAACCCAAAATGTTTTTTCTGTCTTACCAGCTTCTTGAGCCACTAACGATCCATCACATTAGGTTAATAATATGCCTTCCTCCCATTTATAGCAACTTACCTCAGGCTACAAACAGATGTCGCATCTGTCCCGGGAGAAAATTGTATCCCAGGATGAAGTGCAGTCATTCAGGTATCCATGTCTGTTGTCCTGGGACAAACCCTAAAGAGGTTCCCAGGATAAAAAGTGTCGCAGGACATCACAAAGTGTGTCTGTACAGTTTTCCCAGGATCACATCATTGGATCAATGGCAAAAAAGCACTGGTGCATTCAGCTGCTTACTAAACCCTGATTGGGAGGGTGTTGGAGAGGTGGAGGGAACTGGACTGATTTAGTCTAAAGAAGAGAAGACTGAGAGGGGCTTTAATGGCAACCTTCAGCTACCTAAAGGGCGGTTCCAAATAGGATGGATCTAGACTGTTCTCAGTGGTGGCAGATGACAGCAAGGAGCAACAGTTTCAAGTTGCAGCAAAGGAAAAACTTTCTAATAAAAACTTTCTCACTAGGAGGGTAATAAAACACTGGAACAGATTACCCAGAGAGGTGGTAGAATCTCCATCCTTGGAGGTTTTTAAGGCCCAGCTTGACAACGCTCTGGCTGGAATGATGTAGTTGGGGATGATCCTGCTTTGAGCAGGGGGTTGGAGCAGATGACCTCCTGAGGTCCCTTCCAACCTTAATTTTCTATGATTCTATGTGTGTACACACCAATCCCAGGATTTTTATGTTTCAGGACAAACACAGCCACAACTTGTCCAGAACACATGTGATGCCTGTTCCTAGCTTTAGAGATTTCAAAACACTTTACAAACATCTAATACTCAGCACCATTACAGGTACAGGCAAGTAGTGTTATCTCTACATTATTATTCCTGGACAGCTGAGATGCAGAAAGACTTGCCTGAGGTCGCAGTAATGTAGTGGCAAACCAAGGGAAAGACCTCAGACTTCCTGGCTCAAGCTTCCTTGCTACCAGAGAAAGTTTCTTTCCAAACTCATTTCTACCCTTAGAGATGCATCATGAGTCTTATAGTTCACTTAAGACATCAGATGAAAAATGTCTTTCAGCCCAGTTTTGAGAAAGGTGAGAGTTGACATGTTAGGACAAATGGAGGTTCAAGCTCCATATCAAAATCTTTGAGAAGTTCCTGCTAGTTCCTTACTGCAGATGAAATGAAACTCACTGTGTTGCAGAGGGCTAACACAGCCCTAGACACTGCAGAATCTCCTTTAAGGGGCGTGCAAGTGTTCTGTTAGCTGAGCAGCTAAAGAAAGGTGCCCACGCCTTTCCTGTGCATCATGAGAAGGGCCTTTCTGCTGTCTTGAATAGATGGATGCAGAAGGCCATGAAGGAGATAAACTGGAGTAGGGAATGCCTGTCTATATGTAGGCAGAGACTGGGCCCCCTAGACAGCTAGCTGCCTGTTTGCCTTCTGTAAAGTTAGTGCATTTCTTTTGACTTTGCTGAGAATAGGATCAGGTCCCCAGTTATGGAACAGTGTTTGTAACAATGGGGAGGTTGTGCAACAGCCCAGCACCTTTGCCATGGATTCTAGGTTATGGTCAGCCCCTCAACCACTCTGAACTTCACCTACATAGATCCTGAATACACAACCTTATGTGGGTGGAATGGCTTTCACCTGTAATGATATTTCAGTTAGTTATTGACCCTGACTGTGACCATGTATCCATGAGTATCATGAGTTTTTCATTGAAACATAACAACAGTTAAGCCTCTTAAAAGGGTTTACGTGGTAGAACACTCTTTGCTTATTGTACTTAGTTCTGTAAAACTCACCAATGTGTTAAGGAGCAGTAAAATATGTCTGAAGAATATCAGCTTTAAAAGACTGAGTAGTCAAATGATGATAGGCTACCTAGCACTCAAAATCTATTCTTATTACTAACTTTTGAAAAATTAACTTTTAATACCCAATAACAAGAGAGATTTGCTGCTCAAAAAGTGGACCCTGACATCTGTTGCTCAATTTGTGCAATGTCCTATACATGATAATTCTGGTTTTGTTGTAGGAAGGAACACAGAAGAAGAGGAAGCTATGATGCAGGAATGGTTCATGTTGGTTAATAAGAAAAATGCCTTAATAAGAAGAATGAACCAGCTTTCTCTTCTGTAAGTATGGATGAACAAGCCTGTTGACAAGAGGTTGATTTATCAGTATGTTACTTAGAATTTAGATGCTTATTTTTTTTTACTTTCTTTCCATCAGACTTCAAAATGTTCCCTCAATATTCCAAACATGCCAGGTTTTCCAAACATATCAAGTCACTAGTTTTTCTGATATTTCAGGCATAAAAGTATAAAATATTGCAGTGGTGTAAGATCAGCAAGAGCTGGTGGGGGGGAGATATCAAGTGCAATTTATATGTTCAAAAACAACAGTAGAATAAAATTACAGCACAGAAGTATGCAACTCCATTTGAAATGTACTTGGAATATGACCTACAAAGACTAATTTCACAGAGAACATGACATTTAAACTAATAATTGCTCTACAGAATTATAAAATCATTTCACTACTTTAGCAATGTTGAAGTGTTGAAAAATGAATCCATGAACTCCAGTGCAGTAATGTTACTTAGAAATCAATGCAGAGCAAGATTTGGTTAATGGCAACATACTTAAAAAAATGGACAGTATTGGGCAGCTATTAGAGACATAGAAGAAGAAACTAACGAACATCACTCATTATTAAACTAGGATTTGTGATGACCCCAGCAGTCCTACTTTTCCAGTACTTCTCAGTTACCAGCTGATTTTCTTTCAGTATGCCACCTAGTGTAGATATATGCATAGTTCCTGTATAATACAACAAAATGAGTTGCATGTTCATAAATGTCTTCTTGTGTCTGAACTTGATAGAAGAATCTACCTCAAACTATTAAGCTTTCTAATCCCGTGTCTAATTTTCCATATTTATTAGGTCAGAATGTACCTGGGATATTCCTTTCAGTGTTCATACTATCTGTTTGAATTGTTTGATGCTAGAATTTGTTCTTTAGATAAGAAAGAAAGTATCATGCTTTGCACATTCCACAACAGCTATTCCCAGGCTGAATATATACTAATTATATATAATAGTACAATTGAGTTAAACTGACTTCACTAAAATAGACGTTTTGGAAACTGAAAAAAGCAGCATTACTGAATATTCTACCTGAGGAAGGTTTTAAGTTTGAGTATCATTTGTTTGGAGTAGCTTAAAGTTAAAGAGAAAAGTCAGTTATGAGTCCTAAAATCAATGTAAGTTAAAGGTTCTTTTAAGTGTTTAATGATTTAGTAATTAACATATTGATGAACTTTTGCATCTTGCCTAGGGAAAAAGAACATGACCTAGAGAGGCGGTACGAACTGCTGAACCGGGAGCTGAGAGCAATGCTTGCCATTGAAGGTAAGAAATGTTAACTGTGTGGAACTGCTTAACAGGAAGACCAGCAAGAAGGGCTCAGCTGTGAACTGATTCAGCTCACACACATTTAAAATGATAGTGTACAGACATTTTCCCTCACATCCCTCAAGTTTTGTATACAGAGAAATTATTCCAAGTGTCAGAGAAAGCAGGTCATAAACACAAGTCTTGTTTAAAAAAATAAAAGGGGAAAAGACCAATATATTTTTAGAATGTTTTATTAGTTAAGCATTAAACAAATAAAGTATTAAAGTAATACTAGCTTTGGTACAGCAGTAGTGTTTTTCATGTCATAGGAAATGGAAATCGTGACCCGTGTACATGAGACTCATTATTTTTGCATTTAACTTATTTTTACAGCAGTGGTTCACCAGGAAAAAAAAATCACATCAGTGTTCATGGTAAAATATTATACATGTGTCAAGCAAATATTTCATCACATGCAACATCAGGATTAGTACAATCCTTTTGCACATATTTCCTTCATTCTCTGTAGCTCTCTAGAGTCTAGTCACCTTACCTGAATGAAAACTCATGGGAAGATTGACATAGGGGATAAATACAACAATTGAATACTTTCCATAGTGCTTTTAAATGAATGATACAGTAATCCGAAGGCTGATTCATAATAAAAATAAATGTTCAGATAGCTTAAACTATTGCTTACCTTATTTTGTTATTTAAATATCTTAAGTGTTTTATAATGCTGCACCGCTTATACTTCTCAGTCCCCACATGCTGTCTTACAGTTCAAAGATGTTTGCTTATAAGTTAATCCTTTGGGCTCTGTAAAATGGACCTTTTGTCTAATCAATGCAAATTGATTTTGCTATTCTGTATTGACCTCTTAACCCTTTGACTGTCCATGGTAATTTTCTTTCTTCACCTGATAAGGTACCTGATCCATAATAAATCAATTCTAATTAGTTTGGAGACCTCACTGGAAGCGTAAGTTTGTAGGAAAAAGGCAAGGGGTGTCAGGTAGCCTTTTCATAGCTGTGTTACTATACACTGACGTAAGACTAGTTTGCAGTGGTCTTGGATAAACTTTGAGTCTAAAATGTGTATACTGCTTTCTGTATGGAGACAGCAATTACTTAGAAATTAATGCAATTTAATTATCAATGTATTAAAACCAGAAAACCTTTTTTAAACAAAAAGATGCTGAAAAGGACCGTAACATTTTATTCTTTAAGGACTTTGTGCCTACTTTGCATGCCTACAATCATACAAAAAATAACACTCCAGTTTTGATAAAACTGTATTTTTTTTAAGCAGCAAATATGTACCAAACAGTGGGATGCTCTGTTAAACTTTTGTTTTTAAAAGTGATTCAATGTCCAGGATTTTACAAGAAAGATAATGCATGTTTTACACTACTCTACATTTTAGAATTGTGACTGTTATTGTGATTAGTATTCCACTGGGAACTTCTGCAGTATTGCTCAGACACTGAAATATACTTAAAACCAAATTAAAGAAGAACAATTCCACTAAAACAATTATTAATATTATGACTACATAACAAGAAGTTACAATATTATTTTTGAAGCATTGGCTCTGTGCGTGAAGGTGCTTAATTGCTGATGTATGTTTGATTTTGCATATTAACTGTAAAAGTGGTTATAGAACAACAGCACAAAACTGACATTTGTGGTAAGGTTGGCTGTAGAAGAGATCAGAAAGTTAAACTGACTAAATGAGGAGCACAGTAGAGTGTGTATCATAGAAGCTACTTAGCCCTTTGTTAATGAGCAGTTGATGCCATGTGAAAGATGCAAAGGGACAAGTCTAACATTGTGTATGTTTGTTCCGGATCTGAAATACATGGATACAAAAATATCAGGGAAGCTTGTGTTTGTTTGTTTGCTTGTTTGTTTAATGTAAGCAACTCAGCAGAAATATTCTGATTCAAACTGGTACTTAAAAAAAAAAGTTGTTGGGAGGTGATAATTACTGTTTTGGTAAATTGCTCTAACTCTTCCACATGTGGCTGTGCTGTTTAAAAATCTATCAACCAATTTACTTAGCTAGTTGATGACAGGAAAAAAGGAGACTTGCAAAAGGTAGCAGCCTGCTGATTGTAGATAAAGGCGATTTATTGGCCATCGGCCTGCCCTGCTAGTCTGAGCAGTGTGTGGGCAGTACTGTAGTTTAGAGGTGCTGACCGTTATAATGTTCAGTGATGTGGAGACAGTGTCCTCTTAGCCAACTGTTAAAATGGATGCATATGCAGTTGAATGGTCTTTTGGAGTGTTAAAGCACTTCCCACAGAACACATGAATGGCCAACAGTGGTTAAAAAAAAGGAGTACTATTTCCCAGCTAGCAGCAGAGATAAGAAAGGGAGAATAAAGTAGTACTTTTTAATAGCAGCAATAAAATATTCCTATCTTTACAAGTGAATTTTGCTGCTGAAACTGCTCACTCCCGAGAAAGCTCTGAAATAGTTTTATAGAGTTATAATAAGCTGAAGAAAATATAGCCTACATGGTTTGTTTCAACACACACAGAAACACTGCCCCTATTCAAAGCAGTTTGTCCCATGTAAGCAAGGTATGAATTTCAGAGCATGAATTTGACTGCATTTGGAGCTGAGTAGCAGGATGCCTTAGACATACAAACATACTCCAGTTACCTTTTTTTTTGTTCCAGATTTAATGCCTCCTTAGAAAAGATAAGTTCATTTTTGCACACCTTGGGGTAGTGTGTTCATTTTCTGCCCAGGAAATGGATCTTCTTTAGGATTTTGTACATCTTGATTTATTCTTGGCTTATAGTTTGAAGTGGGTGCTCTTCTAAAAGGATTTATGCATAGGTTCACTATTTTTGTAGTTATGGTTTATATGATAAGCTTTTTATATTTAAAATCAATATGTAATCCTGTGGAGGAGCTTATCCCCTAAAACCCCATTTGTAAATCTATTTTAGCTTTGTTACACAGCACAGCCACAGTATTCCATAGATTGATTAGGTTCAGCAGTAGAATCCTATCAAATGGCCTGCTCTGATGATGATGCAAACTCTTTCAGGATTGCTAGTTGACTGGAACTAAAGATAAGACTTGACTGCAATCCCCCAATGTGCTCTTTACAAAACTAGTGTTAATTTTCATCAAAGTGCTTGGCTTATTTATTATAGTGGCAAGGTTGAAGGTTTTACTAGAAGAACTTTCGACCATTTCTATTAAAGTGTTTCTGTTGGACTAGGCTGTCTGTTTTCTCAAAGTAATTATCAGTTTAAGCAACAGGGAAAAAAAGACAATATGAAGTCCATGAAGATGAATAATTGAAAACGTTTCTATTTCAACCTGAATTTAACAAACTCTGTAATTTTAAACTGCACATTGCAAGTGGTTGCACGGGGTCTTTGGATTTCAACACTTTTTGCTCATATACAGCCTCAGAGCTTAATCCGATTTTTGTCCAGACTGTAGCTTTTATAACAGTATTATTCTGAAATCTTCAAATTAATCACAGCCTATATTGTAGCTTCCAAAAGCTGTAGTCAGCGTTGGTAACTACACTTGACAGGTGCTATAGGTAATCCTATCTTTAAATGCACAACAGGTAGAAACCAAACTTGTACACAGTTACTTTTTAAATATATTTGCACTTGTGTTCTTCCTGAAAGGTGGTCCGGATTTTGGAGGGGGTAGGGGGGAGCACATGGGAAGGTCTTGTCAGGTATTTATCTGTATAAAACAAATTGGTTATTCAGTAACATACAAAATAATATCTTTCAAATGCTGGACCAAAAACATACATTCTACCCTGACAAACTGGCATTTAATTGTATTTACTCCTAAGGAGAAAGTGACAGATTTTGCTTTTTCTGAGAAGCGGTACAAAAAGATCATTAAGCTAAGTCTGAAATGAGAATGTGTAGTTGTCCTAATGAAGCTTTGTGCGACAACTTCACAAACTCCACTGCTATCCGCAACAAAAATCAGTTATATTTGAGATATGAATGTCTTGTTACTTGTTACCCAGGGCTGAGAGGGCTGTGTCTATTACATTTACAGGTAGGAATTTAATGGAGGAAATCTAGTTCTTTCAAGGTTTCCATTGAGCATTGTACTAAAAAGATTTTGAATTTTGCCTGGAGAAGCAAGGTGTCGTAGAAAATAGCTACTAATGTTCTGAGAAGCCCGGTATAAAGCCAAGAACATTTCTAAAAATCTTAAACTTTGAATTAAATTTAAATTAAATTGCTTGATCAAAGGCATGTAGCAATGATGCTTTCCAGAGCCATCCTTTTACCTGGATCTTCAGGTGTCATCATTTTAGAGAAATCTAGAGGTCAGTGAGAAGATCACTGGAAGCATAGAAAAGTTATGCTACAACTTGGGTCAGGATTTGAGGGAGTGTGAACAGATTTGGAAATTCTGAACCAGTATATTTTTTTCCTGTTCTGAATTAGATCATTAGCTTTGCATGACACACGCTTTTGCCAGGCTCTTTTTAAAGACAGATTACACTACATTTACTGCTACTTTGTTTTAACGTGTAGTAAGTACCCTGTCTTTCCATGGAGAGACTGTTCTGAGATTCAGAGGGAGATGGCAGAATTTTTAAACAGGGTGAATGAAAGTAGCCTTCCCCAAAATGCATGAGACTAGGAAAGGGCATACATTGACAAAAATAAAAAGGGTGTCTTCTAAATTAGCAACTCAAAAACAGCTTTTTCTGAGCTCCACGTTGGGGCTGGTTTCAAAGCGAAGAAAAATCATGAGGTAAGTTGTATTCATGACCAGTAGCTGTGACTGACACTCTGTATCCTGTTAGGTATACACCTGGAAAATTAGCTTCCATAAAAATGGAGGGGTAAGAAACAGCCCGTTTAAAAGAAAAGGAAAAAAAAGACTTTTTGCCAGGCTTCTCTGTGTGAATGTGAGGGAAAAGAATATGGTGTCACCATATCAAGTTCTTCCCCATTTGTGAAATGCCATCATACAGATTTGCTTCCGTTGAGGGGGCAGACACACGTGTCTGTGTGTATTTTCTGTATGTGGAAATACACCTATATTGATTTGTGGATACTTGGGCACAGACAGAAGGCAAGAGACTGATAAAAATGGTTACACATCCCTGGCTTTTTGCTGCTGTTCTAACCTTTATTGCATGATGATGCATCTAATTTTTAATTTGTAAATACAAGACCAAATTCCCTTTAGCACCACTTGCTTTCATAAAGCTTCTGAGCAGTTTGCTGTCTTGAATAAATTTTGCTTTGGAGGGGGGTCAGGGGGATTTGAACCAGCACATTCTTGTGTGGTTTGTGAAGATTCACATGGTAACCATTGGTGTGCATTGTTAGGTTTATCTGAATAAGCACCAGCCATGTGAGTTTTAACATGATTGCCCAGGGCAATGGAGAGAGAAGAGAGAAATCCAAAAGGATTGCACACTCTCTTTCCTCTGCTTTTTGGAAAGTGCAGAGAGGGGAGGACACTGCTTGAGTCAGTGGCTCTGGATTTTTTTAAGCTGGTGTCCTGTTTCCCTCCTGGTCCTCATTTGTTCTGCTATCTCCCTCATCATCTACTTCTCCTTCTTTTCATTGTTTACCTTCCTAATGAGGGAGGCGGAGTAGACTGGTAGTTGATTGACAGCTACAAGCCCTTCGAGTCTGGCTAGCGAGCAGTTGGCTTGGGCTTCAGGAGTGCTGCAGTGTTAAATTTGCCTTATTTTTATGAAATGCAGTTACTGCTTTGTTAGAAGAGGGCCAGAGTCGGTGCCCTGAAAAGGGAGTCTATACAATCAGAAATGTCCCTTCGGAGTCCTCAGGGAGTAAACATGCGCGCAGTTAGTGCAGTGGGAGAGGGTCTGCGCACTCTCCGATCTTTTACAACAAAATCATTTCAGAAATCAGGTCCGGAATTGCCCGTTAGCAACGAACCCTGGACTCAGCCGCTGTACAAATGACAAACGGGTTACGTTCTGTTATGGGAAGAGGTGCTGTGTAATATGGTCTAGCAAGTGTATTTTTACTTCAAAGAAAAATGCTAATTAACTGATACCTACTTTTAAAGTTGTTGCGAAACATATGGTGCCCAGTGTGAGATACTTCCAACTGCTTAGATATAGCAAGCAAGAAATTAGCAAAGAATAGGTTATTTGCAGGGAGATGGCGTTTCATTCTAGATTAGATTAGTTTCACTCTAGAGAAAAGTGTTCAGATAATTCCGCCCGTTTCTCAAACGAATCTCCCCACCTATTTGTGGAAAAAATGCCGGAAGTAATTCTTCAAGCTCTCCAAATTGAGATAAATCAAACAGTAAATGAGAAAAACAGAATATGGATTACTGCTTTTGTTCCTGGTTTGTTTGGGTTTTTTTTTTTAAATCATCATAGGAAAAGTGGTTCCGGGCTGTCCAGGCCTAGGTTGGAAGTTCTGTGAAATATTTTGAAATTAGGCACCTGGGAATAATATTCCCAAATCTAACACAAACATTTGTAATTCAGGTAGAAACGTCCATTCGTGTTGACGACTTTTGAAAGAACAACAGGAAATAACAGGAAATCAAAAGGAGATTTTCAGTAATTTGATATTTTGGGTTGACACAAATCCGCACAAATGTGAAATGATGGCTGATTAAAGTTATATACCCCGTTATTGGGTCACAAAGAAATTACATTCTCTGTGTCTAAGGCCACCGATCTGACACCAGTTTAAGTCATATGCAGAGACTGAGATCAAACAGATTTCAAGGCATACATTTGTGTGCTTTTTGTTTTGTTTTGTTTCGCGCAGATTGGCAAAAGACTGAAGCCCAGAAGAGGCGAGAGCAGCTTTTGCTGGATGAACTCGTTATTCTCGTTAATAAACGTGATGCGTTGGTCAGAGATTTGGATGCTCAAGAAAAACAGTAAGTTTGGCATATTGTTATTTTGTTAATCCTCTAGGGACATGAGCCTTTTCTGCGCATGGGTTTGCTTTGTCTGGATTGTGCAGGCAGTACAAGTTTCAAAAAAAGTTCAGTACACAAACGCAGCAAATGTTCTGTAGTGACCAAGTTTGAAGAACTCGCTGCGTTATCCGTCAAGGACGACCCAATTTAAAGCAAACGAGGCTCTCGTTAGATCCAGGTCCTCAGCCCGAGTGGTGCTTTCACATCTAGCTCTAGCAAGGGTATCCCGGATCGGAGTTCCTCTGGCAAATTAGCCCTGCCTAGAAACTCCGCGGTGTAAGGTAGTGTCTTGACTACGTCGCCTGAACAGAATATGGACAGTAATAATTATGCCTTGTGTTCCTTTCTCAGGGCTGAGGAAGAAGATGAACATTTGGAAAGGACTCTTGAACAAAACAAAGGCAAGATGGCCAAGAAAGAAGAGAAATGTGTCCTTCAGTGAGTGGCCTTCCTGGAGCAGATGCAGTTGCATTTTGCAGTCGAGCCCTTTCTTACGTTTTTAAAATACTGACACAAGACTGAAAAGAAAAATCAATGTTTTGAAAAATTTTAAACTTTTTCCATTTGGTTAGGCCAGCTCTATAACTGCATTGTTTTTTGAGTTTGGGGTTGGTTTGTTTTGGGGGATTTTTGGGGGGGGGGGCTTTGGTGGGCG